ACATATATATGATATATATAAATAAACGATACTTTCTGTTACTTTTTTTCTAATACAATGAACCAGTTAATTACTATACCCATCCTGTAAGCCTCACTTGGAGCATAGCTGATCTACATAACATAAGCCACATTTCTGGTTGATGTCACTGGTGGCCTCCACCTATCCTTCTGTCATCTCTTCTTGGAGTCAGCAACAAATCATATCCTATGTAATAACCCCTTGTAAAGATGAATATGCTAGCCATGAGGTATTTTATCTTAAATAATATTGATTATGATGGTCTTGTTATGTCATAGCTTAACAGATTACCTGAACCAAAACAGCCAATTTCTCCCTACTCCATCTGCTTTTGGCAATGGTTTTCATAGCATGTGAATACTGACTTGCAAACTGGCTTCACATTTAGGATAAATCATTCACACTTTTATTTTCCATATGGATCAGAGGATGAGTTAACCATGGGAGAGTTATACAGATCCAACTCTGTATCACTCCAAGCTTAGCCAAATTTGACCAAACCACGCATGACATATAGCTCCATGAAATAAAGCAAATCAACACTGTTACATAAAACCATATCTCTGATACATTATGCAAAATTATGGTATACATGTCACTGATGTATACATAAATTTCCTAAGACCTACACAAGGTTATTCATGAGAATAATATTAATTCTTATGATTGGAAAGAACCCAACACTTTATCAAACAAATTAATTTTTTGTTGTGGTTTAGGTCTAAATTGTATACCCCAGAGGTCTCATGTTTACCACAGGGGGCTTTAGGAAGACAATTGGGTCATGAGACACTATATTGGTCTGTGGATTAATCCATTGATGGCTTTTTACATGCTATTGGGAGCTGGGGTCTGTTAGGAGGGTTGGGACAAGAGGGGCGTGACCATGGAGAGTGTGTTCTTGTCCCCGACTCCCTCCTTCTCTGCCTTGGATTGATCAGCTTTCCTCTGCAGGCTCTTTCTCCAGGCTGTTTCTGCTTCTGAGCCAACCAAACTTCAATGAATCAACCAACCTTCAGTGAATCAACCAACCTTCAATGAATCAACCATGACCCAAATTACACCTCTTATCTTTTAAGTTGTTGACTATATCCATTCTGCCTTTATCCTCCCTGACACCTTCTCCCACTCCTCAGTATTCTTTATCCCTGAGCAGATAATGATATTTGAACTAAGGAAATGAATTTCAGCCCTTCCATTGCACTTTCTACTACTGAGGGCATGTGCTAGGTGGGGCTAGGTTGTGTCTAGAGTGGACAAGAACAAAGCTGCCAACATCTCTTATGCAGATACTGGGCCCCTACACTCCACAGAAAAGCACACAGACATGCTCTCCCCATTGGACAAATCCTTTGACTTCTGTGTTTCTCCTTCTGGTAATTCTGTTTGTTTTCAGACATAGATAATCTATCTCAGTGTGAAAGTTATGTTGGGAAATTAAGATACAACTGCATTAGTTCAGCTTTGCATCACTACAATAAAATACCTGCCATGGTCGACCTAAAAGGAACATTTTTTTTCATTTCATACTTGAGAGACTGAATGTCCAAGATGAGTTTATCAGTGGCACAATCTTAAATGGACCCTCTGAGGAGCAACTTGGAAAACATATATGTGTGTAAATGAAACATGTAAAGAAAAAAAGAGTAAAGAACGGTGCGTAGTGGTCAACACAAAATTCAATAGTTTTGTTTTCTTAGAAATATATTT